AAGAAAAAAAAAAAAAAAAAAGGCACAAAACAAGTAGTGTGAGACCGGCAGAAAGATCGAGCAGCTTAAATCCCGTGATCGCTCTAAGTCTCGTCGTTCATTCCGAGAGCCAGGCTGAGCCACGCGTGTCCGTGCTGAGACCGGGGCAGCCCCAAAGCGGGAACATGCCGTTAATCGTCATGCAAATGACGAAATGAAAATTATTACTTCATGCAGATTTTATTTTACCCAAGCTGTTTAAATAAGGACTAGCAATAATCAACCTCCTCTTGGCCCAATTAAAAAAATGATGGTTAATGGAGATTTGTGTGAGCTTGCATTTAGCATTGGAGGGGGGCGGGGGGGAAGAAGAGGGAAAACGGCTAATTGCAGGCACTAATTAGGACTCTAATCCCCCTCCCAGCAGGCACAGAGATGCCCCTGAATGCAGTTAGTTGAAATCACTTAAGTGTCGGTCTGTCTGACCTCAAGGGGCACAAACGAAAAGAAACTGAAGCCTGATTTCTAAATTTCAAACAACAAAAAAAGTTACTTTAATGACAAGTTCACTCAATGGAGAGGAAATGTAAAGCTCAGCGGAAGCGTTAATTCCATGGCAATGGTGTAAAATAGCCTTTTTGTATAAACAAGGCAAATATTGATAACTTAGGGGGGGGGGGGGAGGGGGAGTCATTTGTTTCATTCTTTGTAGAGCTCCGCAGAACGAGCCAACTATAAATTATCGAGAATTTAGGGCTGAGAATTACTTTGGGGGATTATTACTCCCTCTTAGGACTGATCTGTAGGAGACATTAGGAGAACACAGCAAGCTCAGCATTGAAATAGAAATCATGTTGTTGCCAAGAACGCTTGATTTATAAAGTGGAAACATCTTTAAAATGCACTCGCTATCTTTTTAATGTTCTACTGCTTCATTGTGGGAGGGGAAAAAAAGAGATTATTTTATATTAAAAGGATCATCAAAAGATAAAAAGTTTATGTTAGCAAAGTTCCCTGAACTTTACATAAAACCGCTCGCCTCCTTCAGACATCAAATCCTGCCCGTCGCAGCGCCCAGAGGATGCGACTCTGGGCTCCATCCATCAGAATCTTTCCTTGTGCCTCCTATTTGGGGTTTGCTCTAGTTACGAATTTCTGCTCTAGAGGCTTTTCTGAGGATGGGTTTTCGCGGCTAAATTACACGTAGTGCGAATATTGCCCCGTCCTCGCCGGTCCCTGGGGCTGTAGGTACCCAAGGGCTGCCTCAACTGGAGGAAACGAGGAGAAACCCGGCCCCGCGTGTTTTCTTCAAGCGCTGGCCGTGGCGAGTGGCACTTTGCAGAGCGGCTTTTTTCGGAAGGCAACGGGGCGTTTGCAGCTGAAACCCCGTGGTCCGGGTGGCTGCGAGCCCGGGTCGCTCCTCCGAGCAGCCCCTCACCGCTGAGTCCCGGCGCGGCGGCGGCCGCTCCCCGCTCCTGGCGCGGCCGGGTCGCCTTCCTGCGCCGGGTGAATGAGCCCAGCACCCCATCGAGCTGTGCCTGCCTGTGCCTATAAATAAGGCTCTAATTGTTCACAAATCCCCCCTTTATTTAAAAAAAAAAATTAGAAAAGGGTCTTTTTCCAGGCAGTGAGGTCCTGTTAAATCGAATTAATAAAATCAGTGCAGATGGCAATGAAGGGGACGGGGCTTATCAGAGGATGGAGATGCAGATGTCCATCTGAATTCCTCCCTCCTAGCAGCCTCGCCGTGTGGTGCATCTCTCCGGTGGTGCCTGCCGGGCTCTGCAGAGCCGCAGCCCGTCCCAGCAAGGCGCCCACTTTTCCTGCTGGATTTTGGGCATTCCATAGTGGTGAAGTTGTGAGAGGGGTGGGTACAGCAGAAAGCAAACGAGAGACTTCATTATAAATCTTGCTTTCCAATTCCATCTTCTTGCTCTTATGTGCTGTTATTTCACTGAACAACTGCAATTTTTTTTTTTTTTTTAACCTTGCGGCAAAACCCGCTTTGTCTCTCATAATTCTCTGTGAAATTGCATCTTCCAGACTTTATTTCTGCAGGAAGTTAAGCTTTGGTTACAGAGTCTTCCTGGCTCAGGAATTCTTTCTTTCTGTTAGTTTTTATTTAGCTCCAGTTGTTCCCTAGTTTTTTTTCCAAGGTGCCAGTCTTTGCAGCATTGCAGTTTCTATCCAGATATTGCCAGGGACAAACAATTTCATGAAGCTTATGGCTAATCAGTAAAAAAATACCAGTTCACAGGGTGTCTGGTCACATTTTTGTGAACAGTTATTGAAGAGAATATGTGTCATTCCTCCATGGTAGCATAACCATCCCAGAGATGTGAACAGGAGATTCCAGATACTGTGAAATAGAGTTTTGGCAGGAGTGCAAGATGTGCACAGGTACAAAGATATCTTCAGTCTTTGTGGTAGCAGATTTTAAGAAGCATATGTAGGAAAATATTGCACAGAAAAAAAAAAATCAATAAAGCAACTTGCATGTGTGGAAAAGACACAACCCCCCCTTTAGATGTTCCAGTTTCATTTTAAAAATGGCTTATTTCAGTTAAAAAAAATAAATCTGTTCCTAATCAACTTTAGTAAACCAAAATAAAACTAGTTTTTAGGACATCAAGGTCTGAAGAAGTATAAATGCTTTGGCTAAGATGGTGCAGCTTTCCTCTGCGAATAATCCTTTAAAAGTTAAATTTTCCATGGCTCTGTAGGGCATATGGATGCCCAGTTCTCATTACAATTAAAGGGAAATATTTGCCCAGAATCTTTTGAGGCAGTTACAAGAATCTCTGCTAAAGGTTTTTGATCCAAAAGCAAACCTTAATATCCGAGATCAGCGATGGAATGTGAGCCATCAATTTAAAACTTGGAAATAAA